CCCCCAAGAGGCCACACAAAAAGGCCCCAAAAAGATCCCCAAACGGCCCCCAAGAGGCCTCAAAGCTGCCTCCAAGAGGCCCCCGAGAGGCATGCTACGATATCCAAACGAACATCCTAAAGGCCTCTGGCCCACAACCAAGGCACGGTGGCGGGATGGGCCGAAGGCTACTATCCGCCGCCCCCTGTTGGTTCATCGCAGGGGTGCCTGGCGTGCTGGATCTCTCGGTTTTGGTTTTGGTTCTTTTTCCAAAAGAACTCCCCCTGGCGCTTCGGCCCGTCCCGCCGGGGTCCCGGGAGGATTGCCCAGGACCCCAAACTCCAGAAAACATCCTCCCTGAAACGGCCGTTTCGCTCGGGACATCCTCAAACAATCGCGAAGATGGCCCAAGATGGCCTCCAAGTCCGCCCAAGATGGTCCAAGATGGCCCAAGAGAGTCCAAGACGGCCCAAGAGGCCCCCCAGAGGCCTCCCAGACGGCCCAAGAGGCCTCCAAGAGGTCCTCCAGGAGGGCCCGAAGAGGCCGAAATCATTGATTTTTCTTAGGTGTTTCAAGGATTTTGGAAATTGCTTCTTCTCGGCGTTCCGACGGCTCAAGACGGCCCAAGAGGCACCCAAGATCGCCCAAGAGGCCCCCTAAGAGGGCCCCGTGACGGCCCAACTGGCCTCCAAGACGGCCCCAAGAGGGTCCCAAGAGGCCTCCAACACGCCCAAGATGGCCTCCAAGACGGCCGCGAAGCGCCCCAAGAGGGTCCCCCGTTGGCCCAGAAAGGCCCCCAAGACTGCTCCCGACGGCGTCAGACGTGCCAGGAACCCACCAAGATGGCCGAAGTTGGCTCGAAGCTGACCCAAGACGGCCCAAGAGGCCCCCTAGAGGGCCTCCAGGAAGGCCAGAAGAAGCCAAAAACCTTGATTTTCCAAAGGTTTTCGAAGGATTTTGACATTTCCTTCTTTTCGGCCTTCCGACGGCCCGAGACGGCCCAAGAGCCCCCAAAGATCACCGAAAGATCGCCCAAGAGGCCTCCAAGACGGCCAAGATGACCTTCAAGATGCCCACGTGTCCCCGAAGGCTTTCCAAACCGATTCGGGGAACACATGGTCCGATGGCTTGGCAGGTCTGGCCTCAACGTTCGGCCACATAGGCGCTTCCAAAAAGGCAGGGGGCGGCGGTGATTCGCCGTAGGCGTCTTCGATATGTACACACGCACCGGAAACACGCGCGCTTCGCGCGCGCATAGGTTCTAGCGCAGTCCAAGTCAACTTACGGGACTGGATAAGGACTGGCACCATGCCACGTGGAGGACCCAGGGTCGCCTATGGGGGGACGCCCGAGAACTCCTAACAGCCCGAGGGAGCCATGTCGGGAGTCTCCTTGGATGCCTTTTGGGGGCGTTATTGGAAGGCTCTTGGGGGGTTGCTGGGGGTGGGGTCTCTTCGGTTTCTGGTGGGGGTCCCCTGGTGATCTCTTGGGACTTTTTGAGCGCGCCTCGGGGGCCTCCCTGGGGCTCTTGGCGTTGGGCTCGACATATCGAATGGGGTCGGCCTGGAAAAAACGGATTTGAGGAATTCCTTTTTTTCAAGTTGGGCCTCCTGCCACTCAGATGGGCAGGATGCTTGATGAGCGCGGCGGAGGGAGGAAGGAGTAAAGGAGAGATGAGGATGAGGGAGGGGGAGGAGGAACTGCAGATGGGAAGCGGAGAGGGGAATGCGTGAAGGCGAGACGAGGAAGAGGTAGGATGGATAATTACGCAGCGGGGAGGAGAGGTAGGAGGAGAGGAATATGAAGGATGTGGAACGAAGACGGAGGAGAATCAAGAGCAGGAAAGAAAAGAGACAGAGAGAGAGAGATAGAACAAAGAGAACGGGCAGCGAAGGATGGGGGAAACGGAAACGCACTCTGGGGCACGCCAAAGCCTGGGACAGAAGGGAACGGATGCGGATGGGCGAACTGGAAAAAAAGACTTTGGGGCAATTCCCGTTTTTTTCAAATTGCCTCTGGAGCTGGAGGACCCCAAGGGCATCCAAGATCGCCACAAGAGGCCTCCAAGAGTCCCCCAAAAGCCTTGAGGAAGCCCTCGAAAGACCAACGTCATTGCAACAACTAAAGAAAGAACGATGTGTGTGCTCTCGCATCCGAGGCTTGCGCATGCACTCCAAGAGGAGCTCCAAGATGCCACCCAAGGGTCGAGCGGCTCATGGGAGCACCTGGGAGCTCTCCCGCGGGCCTCTTGAGAGCTCTCGAGGGCCTCTCGGGGCCCTCTTCGGCGTTGGGTGCCTCCGTGGCGGCTCCTGCAAGCTCGTAGGGGCCTCTCGCGCCGCTCGGACGCCTCCCAGAGGTCTATTGGAGCTCTCTTGGGGGGCTTGCGCAAGCCTCGGACACGTGACGGAGGCAGACTTGCGATAAGACAGAAAACCGTTAATATTCCCTTGGTTGTTCAATGACTTTGGCATCTCGAGGGATTCCCTGGAGCTCTTGGGGGACTCTTGGAAGCCTCTTGCGGCGATCTTGAATGCTCTTGGGGGCTTCCAGAACCGTCGGGGGGCCGGCTTGGAAAGCCTCAGAGCACTCCTGGGCTGTCTCAGGGACGTCCTCGGCCATCTTCAGGCTCTCCCGGTGCTCTTTGGACGCCAGGGAGGATGGCACCGGGGATTTGCCAAAAATGGTCGTCGCGGAGTTGGCGGAGCCCAGGGGGGGGCTGATTATTTTAAAGTGGGAGCGCCTTTCGGCCGTCTTGGATCGCAGGGAGCTCCAGAAAGGGAGACCATCGAAACGCTTCAACCGAAAGAAAATCAGAGAACTTGTCCGCGCGTGGCCCTTTCGGGCGCCTTCTGGGAAAGCGAAATCATGGATACTTCGAAATGTTTTGCAACACACTTATTTAAACGTAAACATTTTGGAAGGTGTCTCGGGGCGGTCGTGGGAGCCCCGTTCCTGCGTCTTGGATCGCAGGAAGCTCGAGGAAGGTGACCATCGAAACATCGCAGCAACCGACAGGAAATCAAAGAAGTTGGCCTCGCGTGGCCCTCTCGGGCGCAATTTGGGAGCGTCATGGGGGCATCTTGGAGGCCCTTTGTGGGCATATTGGAAGCAAATTGGGGGCCTATTGGGGGCTTCCCGGAAAGCCTCTTGGGGTACTTTGGGGAGCCTCTTGTGGGCGCCTCTTGGGGCCTCCTGGGGGCCTCTTGGGGCCGCAGGCTCGAAATTTGAACTGAGTTGTCCCTCTCTGGGACCTCTCTCATGCCCGTCCTGGGGCTCTCTTGGGCCGTCTTTGAGGCCTCTTGGGCCGTCTTGGGCCTTTCTTGGGCCATCTTGGAGCCCTCTAGGGGGCCTCCTGGCCCGTCTTGGAAGCCTCTCGGGCCGTCAGGGACGATGTAAAAGCACAGGAAACGAACATACTACAAACACATGTTGCCCTGCGGGAGTGGAACAATTGTTGCTTCTTGGAGCCCTCTTGGGGGGCCTCCTGGGGGCCTCTGGGAGCGTCTTGGGGCTTCTTGGGTCGTCTTGGGGCCCTAGTAGGCGTCTTGGAAGGCATTCTTGGGCCGTCATGCGGCGATTTGGCGGTCTCGAAGCGCATTTTCGTGCGATCCGAAGCTGTCTTCGGGCGATCGTTGACGGCCCATGGCGCTCCGGCAGGGCCTGGGGCAGCCCAGTACCTACATTTGTGGTCCACGTCCCGGCCCTCGCCCCCAGGCCATATATCCATGGATAAGCCCTCGGCGTGGAGTCATCCTTGATCCTCGTCTGTCCTCCTTGATGTTAAGAAGCAACTCCTGGGAGGTCTTCGTGGGAACGATGAAACACTATCAAGCCCGATTTAAGCGCCATGAAGCCGGACAAGGCCAGGCCAAGCCTGGGTATCAGCCGGATTCAGCGGGGCTGCACGGAATTAGGCGGCACTACGCGGGATGAGGCCGGCTTTCGACCACGGATGTGCCAGCACCAACGCTGAATTAGTCTCCCAGGAATTGCATCCTCTTCGACGGGAGGCCTGGGGGGGGTATCGGGGCCTGCGGGTGGTCAGCTGCGGGCGCTCGCGAGGGGTCCCGCGCAACAGGGAGCGGAGAGGGGGGGGTGATGGACCTCCGCCGTCGCGGAAGCAGTCGCGCTGGAGGATGAGCAGGAGTATCGGGCAAGTGAAATATCATCGACGAGGTTCGAGACTCTATGTTTTGTTTGGCATGTTGGACGAGGTTAGTGACTCTATGTTTTTGTTTGGTTTTGCATTTTGGGGCCCCGTTGGGCCTCCACAGGCACAAAAGCACACACACACATCATCTGCATCTACTCACGTGCACAACTCAGGTTCGGTCCACGTGAATATGTTTCTCCAGCTCGGCATGTTTCGAAATGGGCCGCATTGGTTCAAGCGTGTGAAGCCATGACTGTTTCTTATTTGCAGTCGTGCTGACTGGTGGGCCATCGTGCAGCGAAGAGCGTGCCATGATCTTGCTGTCATTGAACACATAATTTGACCAAATGCGACTTCGGACGGATCTTGCAAATCCCGCTTCAGGATGGTAAACGCAATGTGGCACCCTGTCGCACATTGCCGTCGCTGGACGTATAGTGCTAGCTTCGAAGCGAACTCTACTTATCCCAGCCTTACGCGCAGCAATGGCTAGCCCCACAACGCAATAATAACACGACTTAAGCTGTCGAAGATACATGCGAGACCACGCTGCACAAAGGGAGGCACACAACGCCCCGACAGCGCAGACACAGACGCACACACACAGACACGGATCCCCACCATCAACCGAAATACGGCCGCTAACAAAACCTACTCGATCAAAACAATGTGACGGGTCCTGCCAGCACTTTTCGCGTGCTGTGCACATGGTGCGCGCGCAACGGCTTACAGATCATATACATGTGCTCCTGAATCACAAGCGAAACAATTCCTGAATGACGCCAAGCCTTCATCAGCGAGACAAGACTTGTACATGGAGAAAGCTAGACGAGGACCCTGAGCACGCTGAATGATTGTCAAAGCTGGCCTTGGTGGATCGACAAGCCCCCCAAGATGCGCTCGGGAAGCTCATCCTGCGCGGACAACAAACTTAACGACAGACAAGCTTGCTGCTTACAACGACATGCTTCCTCGGGGCTCGCAAGCTTGTACAACCGTGTTCTCTATCGGCAACTACGTGAAAAATCGAGCGGTAGCTTCTCCGCTGCTCATGGTCCTTCTCATACGTAATCCCTCTCATCGTCCTCACCCTCGGAATCACCACCCCCCTCCTCCAAGTCATCATCCTCCACCTCTTGGTGCACCTGTGCTAGACGTCTCTGCACCGGGGCTGCACCACCCGGGGAGTCCTGTCGCTGGCCTTCGATGATCAGGTAGAGCTCCTGCCGACAGCGGCCGCGCATCGCACGCTCGAGTCGCTGGCAAGGCCGCGCAACCATCGGGTCGGGCGAAAGGGGGGGATAGCAAAGGGGGGGTTTGAGAATCAGCTCACGTAGCTGATTTTCCTGGCGCCTCCCGGCGCCGGAGGCGGCCATGTATCGAGGAATGGCCCCTCGGTGAGGCCGAAACCAGCTGCATGCAGCAAAATTCGTAACCCCCCCTTTCCCAATCCCCCCCTTTCGCCCGGCCCGACAAAACATGCCCGGCGCGCCATTCCGCACTCTTCCGACATCGAGCCTCTTGCTCTCGGCGCGGCCCTCGGATCGGGTGCTGCTGGAGGTGCCCCCTGGCCCAGGGTGCTGCCCCAGGAGTTCCATTTTGAGGGCTCCCAAAACGCGCGATCTGCGGACAAGCGAACACAGGGACACATGCGCATTTGAAGGGGCCCTGGGACACACAAATAAATACACACAAATAAAAATATTCCCCATATTTTCATATAGTTTCTCGGTTTTTGTCTTCCCCACCACTTCCCATATTTTCCCATATTTTCTGGGGGACTCGACGATTAATTGTGTCTGTGTGTTTCTTTCCCTCCTGACATTCGATGGCTCCCAAACGCGCGATCTACGGACAAGCGAACACAGGGACACGTGCGCATTGCAAATCGAGTCGCAGAGACGCGATTGGAAAAAGGCCATGGCAGTGGACGAACCAACTGGCAAGTGACCCCAGGCGGGAGTGACCTTTGACCTTTCCTGCGCGACCTTCGGGCGGCGCGCAGGCGCCACACACGAGCGCCGAACCAGCTGCGATCGCATCGCGTTCAGCCATCACCAGAGGCCCCGGCGTGCCCGCACCAGGAGGTCACTCAGGCGAAGGGCCACTCTTACGCGTGGCCGAATTTTCGGCCTCCATGTGCCCTCGCTGGGCCTCGGGACTGTCAACACAAACGACTCGGCGAAGGAAAAACTGGGGCCATGGAAGGGATCGAGGCGGCCAAGGGGCCACGTTATCAAAGAATCGCGGTGTCGGGAGTCTGGGGAACAGGAAGGGCCAGAACGGCGGGAAGGCTCGAGAAACAAGCGCGAAAGGCCCCAACCTCATCCTTACAGCAACTTCTCCTCTTCCTCTCTGGACCCTCGCTCGGAAACGCGATGCGTCTTATCGCCGTGCTGAGATGTAATGGTCAGCACCGCCGCGTCGATCGTGAAACGCGTCGCCGCTGGCATGCCATTTTTCCTCCGATGTGTTCATCTACCGCCAGCCTGGCGGTCAGTGGACAGGGCAGAAGAAAAGGGCAGTCTCGAAATACCATGGATACTGGTGATGAGCAGGGGAATGGCAGGGTGGAGGACAGGAGAGGGACTGGAGAAAAGAGAGACACCATGCACATGGATAGTAATAAGGATCAGGTGAAGAAGGAGAAAGGTAAGAGACATGAGGAAGATGGATGCTAGAACTGACGCTCAACATAGCATCAAGCACACTGCCAACGGACAAGGCACGATTAGCCAGCGTCGAAGAGGGAAGTCGGATCGGCTCGGACCCCTGGGCGGGAAACACTTTTTATCCACATCCAGGGGCTCGCTGTCCGGCTCCTCGGCCGCGACCCCATGGATGCGGGGCGGCTCTGTGCGGATGCCTGGCGCGGAGCTTATCCGCGCAATCGTGAATCCATGGACTCGCGCCTCAGCATCCGGAACACACAAGCATGGATACGGATACGGATATGAATGATATGCTCGTCGCTCGTGAGGAACAAGCGCAACGTCGGGCCGCACCCGAACGGAGCCGGAACCGCACCAAACTGGCAGCGCCAGCATGCACGACGGCGCCACGCCGGCACCTGGGTCGCATCGGACCGTCAGAACACTGTCACCGGGACCGTTTCGGAGATTGGACCGGCCGGCCCAAACATCGGGCGGCACGGCATTCTCGAGACAGAGAACTCCAGACCTCACTTCTCCAGGGCCGGTATTTCATCCCGAGCTGTTTTGTGACAGCTCTGAAGGCCCCAAACGGGGGGGGCAAAAAAAGCCGGCCGTCTAAATTTTCCGAGCCGTTGGATGCTTGGGGAAACCGATATCGGATCGGATCGATCGGATTGAAAAACATCCAGAGAGTGCCGCGACTGCTTCGTGAAGTTTTGGCGGCTCCAAGGGGTGGAACTTGCGCAGGGTTGGGATGGCAACCCGCAACCTGGGGGGCGGGCGAGTATCTCGACAGAGCTCTCTGCCGCGCCTCGGCAAGCCTTTGGCGCAACGTGGTGCCCCCCAGGCCCCAACGGCACCCGATCGCAGACCACACGCCGGCGCAACCACCCGCTGCAGTCGCCGATGTTTTCAGAAGCGCCAGCCTGCAAACAGGAGTCTGCGGGCGCCGAGGCGGTTCCAGGCTGAAGTGCTTCGCCGCCCCCGTCAGCAGGTTCACTATCCGGCGGCCCGTCGAGGAGGAGATGCAGTTCACCGACATCTCGCGCGCGAGGGAGAGAACGACAAGGGCGGTAATGACGACAACGAGGGAGGAGCACAATTGAACAGAACAACTAATGGAGTTCATCCTTCGTGGCACCGAATCGCCCAAACCTCAAGCAGGAGGGGCATGGGGAGGAGGAGGGAGGAGAGGGAAGGAGGAGAGGAGGGAGGGCGAGGAAGACGACGAGGGGAGAAAGGAGGAGAGAGCGAGGTGGAGGAAGGGGTGGGAGAAAGAGGGAACGGAAGGGGAAGACAGGGAGACCGAGCGCTGCCAGGAAGACGAAGAGATGGGGTCCAACGCGTGACTTCTTATCCACTGGAACCGATGGCCCGCTTGACAAATCTCTTAAGCCTCAGATGGGCCGTGAGATCACCAACGCGGACGGGCAAGGGTTCATGCTCAGCCTTCAGCTTATGATCAAATAGCCGGTGATTGCAACTAGCGGAGGAGGCACGACTCGAGCATGCTCTATGCCGTAGCGAGCATTTACAGTGTTCATATGTTTTCGATGTGCATGGTGTTTTGCTGCGCCCACCTGGGTTCCTCCTCCTCCTCTGATCCTCCTCCTTCTCCTCTGATCCTCCTCCTCCTCTGATCCTCCTACTCCTCCTGGTCCTCCTCCTCCTGGTCCTCCTCCTCACCCTCCTCTTCCTCCTACTGGGGATGATCGGAGCTGCTCGTGCGATGCTGTATCAAGTGAGGTCGTCCGCAGGAGGTCTTGGCTGGCGCCCCTCTCTGAGTCGGGGAGCATTAACGCTCGAGGTCGGGGAGCTCGAATTTGCCTGAGGGGGCCATCAGAAAAATGGCGGGACCTGATTTGAAAATCGGCATGAGCTCGGTCTGCAGATGTCTCGCGAAAACTGAACTGCCAAAATTCACGCTGGGACCATCAAAAAGCGGTGGCAAGGCCGAACTCCAGCAAATTCGAGTCTTACTTTGCCCCAAGTCAATCAGCATCAAATCGAACTGGAATGTGTGCAGGATCACGCTGACTCTGCATGGAGTCAGTGTTCAATCGGATTGGCTGTGTCAGGATGCATAACAACGCCATGCAAGCATCGGGCCGCATCGGTGCTTCGTCGTCCTATACGCAGCACGTGTAGCCTCTGCGGCACCGCAGCCTGCCACAAATGCTTCGAATGCCAAAGGAGCACGCAAGGCTGATCGCTCCGCAGGCGGGTGCGCACAGTGATGGCCATCACCACCATCATGGTTACCCGCATCGTCCTATTCATCACCATCGCTCTCACTACAGTTGCAAATATCATCAAAACCCTGGGCCACATGTGTGCATGCATGCAGCCAAGACTTGGCCCAATTGTAACAAGCCTCGGTATGGCTTGGTCCGCTGTTGTGCACTATGTCGACCTTCTTTCCGACAATACCAGGCCTGTCCGGCATGCCCGTCTTCACAAGCCATGGACCTCGGAACAGAATGGCAAGAAATCGCGCAGATATCGATACTGCGCATCCATCATGCTCCTTTGCGGCAAACGGACCACGATAGACCTGTGCGGCCCTCGTATACTTCGAGTGCCTCTGCAACTATCCACGGGCACACCTGCCACCCGATCCTGAACCCCTTTCCCCGAATTCCTACGCACCCATTGGAGCATGCGAATGTGTCTTCATTCTTCGGGGAGCATCCCAGCTGAACACCCCACCTCGTTGAGCCACGTGGAGTCGACACTGGACTTCGTTCTGGCAGAGAGCTCGATGACAGCAGAACGAGGGGCGCGAGAAGAGGAAGGAGTTCAGGAAAGGAGGGCAGCGAGCAGACGACGAAAGATAGACCCGCAAGTGACGTCAAATGAGCAACACCCTGCCGCCAGTCTGCGCCCGAACGCGGGCGGTATCATCGCGGCGTCCAGCTCGAGACATCGCCAACCTCCAGCTCGGAGAGACATCGTGGCTATCCTCGCTGGACACGGCCCGCTGGCGGAGGTATCGCTTCTCCTCCTTCCGACCCCGCCCTACTCCTCCAACCCGATCCCACCCCTCGAGGAGAGGGGGGAGGAAGAGCACTTGTCGTGGGGACGTACAGGCGGGCAGGGGCAGAGGTGGGGTTGGGAGGAAAATCGCTTGAAATGGCTACTAGAAACAAACGCGAGCATCCAGCTGGGTCCGTTCCCTGACCTTGCCTTGGGATAAGTACCCCCCCTCTGCGATCCCCCCGAACGCCCCCGAGCGTGGAGGAGGACGAGGAGCTCCTCTATGGCGCCGTAGCACTCGGATGCCGGCCGTCCGCCCCTGTCAGCTTTGTGGCGGCACAGTTCAAACTCCGCCTTCAAATGGCTTTCGTTTACGGGCGGGCGCCGCGCGCCGCGAGCTGCCGCCGAGTGCTGTACATACTGGCTGGCCCAGGATTGGCGGCGCGCCCAGGGGGGAAGTGAGAAGGAGAAGGCCTTCTCAGAAGGCTCAAAAGTTCCCCGGCCCTTCTGATGGGTTTTTGAAGCCTTCCCCGAAGATGCAGAGCATCTCTCTGAAGGCCGAATGGCTTCTGAGAAGTCCCGCCGCCTTCTGAGAGGGCCTCCTCCCTCTCACTCCCCCCCCACCCGCTCGCCGTCGACAGGAGGTGAGGATCAGAGAAGGCGCTCCGACTGCCGCAGCAGGGCAGCCTGTCACGCAGCAGGGGCCGCGCATGCAGGGCGAAGCGCGCATGTCAGGCGTCCCCGCGGGGGGGCGCATAAGTCTTCACTCGCTTCCACTTGGCGTGCCTGCCTCCCGTCACAAGGTACGTTCGGACCTCACAGTTGCCCATGTACGAATCGCCAGTGAGCCCCATCAGGAAACCGCCGTGTGAGACCACCGCCAGGCTTGCCTCTGGCCTCCCCAGCAGGTACCTGGTGAGCCGGCGTCCGCGGCGCCTGACGTTGGCCCACGAGGCCACGTCGGTGTCCATGATGTCCTTCTGGTACCCGCGGGTGCCCACGCCACTTGCCAACGACCAGTCCATGCCCCCGAACTGCTTGGACTGCCGGAACCGTTTGGGATCCACGGGCAGGTCGCAGAGGTGCGTCCTGCGCAGGATGCGCTCCCGCGCATCTGGCACTACAACTGTTGGAGTGCTCGGGGACATCGCCCTCGCTGTCTGCAGCGCTCGGAGAAGCGGAGAGGTGATGACCGCCTGGGGCTTCAGCCTCTTGAGGTTGCACCGCAGGGATCTCGCCTGACGCCTGCCTTTGGCCGTCAGCTGGGTGTTGCGCTTGGAGGAGAACGCGTCGCTGACGTTGTGCTCTGCCTCCCCGTGGCGGACGACATGAACGACCTTGGCCACTGATCCCGTCTCCGACCTCTGAACAGGAGCTCGGGTGCCCCTCGGGAGAACCATCGCTCCGAACCTGAAGACGACCTTAGACGAGCGTGAAGCCGCCAACACTTCAGCGCAAAACGATTAAACCAAAAAGGCTGCGGGATGTAGGTTATCAGGAAGGAGATGGAGGATGAAACAGCCTTAGCGATTTCCCGAAAACGGACACAAATCCGCCGACCCCGCTTGCCGGGGTGGCTCCCCCGTTTCCGCCTCCCCTGGGGTCTGAAATCCGATTGACAAAATGGGTGGCGGAAGGGGCTGGGGGGGGTGGGCTCGAGCTCCTCAACGCATCCCCTGGGCCGCCAAAGCCTCCAAATCCCCCGACCCTTTGGGGTCACGGCGTGTGAGATGCTTCCCCCTCCCCAAACCCCTCCCCCGGGGGCCTGGTCTGGCCGGTTTGGAGGGGTGGGGTGGGGAGGGGGGGGGGGGGGGGGGGGAAATCCATCATCCGCACACTTGGAGCCTCAGGAGGCCCCAAAACAGGCTAAAAAGGTTCCTCGGAAGCCTCTTGGGCCGATCTTTGGGGCCTCTGCGGCCGTCTGTGGCCCTTCTGGGACGGAAACGGGGAGAACCCGAAAAACATGCAAAAACCCGAGGGAAAACCCGAACACGGCCATTAACACTCATTCCCCCGCCCTACCCCCCTCCCCTGGAACCCCTCCCTTTAGGGCTTCGCCCGCACCAGAACGTCATCACTCGTACCTCGCTCTTTCCGTTACCTGGCCCGGCACGGAAACGGAAAGAGCGCTTCAGGAACTTGCCCGCGATGTCTCATGGCACCGTTCGCTCTTGGGAGCCTTTGTGGGACGAGCGTGTTACGTCATCGTTCGTACTTGGCGCCCTCTTGGGCCGTCTTGGCGCCCTCTTGGGACGTTTTGGGGGCATCTCGGGAGCCTCTTGGGCCGTCTTGGGGCGCTCTTGGGGGCCTCTTGGACTGTCTTGGGCGCCTCTTGGGCCGTCTTGGCGCCCTCTTGGGCCGTTTAGTGGGCATCTTGGGAGCCTCTTGGACGGTCTTGGGGCGCTCTTGGGGGCCTCCTGGACCGTCTTGGGCGCTTCTTGCGCCGTCTTGGCGCCCTCTTGGGCCGTTTTGGGGGCCTCTTGGGAGCCTCTTGGAGCGCCTTGGGGCGGTCTTGGGGGCCTCTTGGACCGTCTTCAACGCCATGAAAGCCGAAAAACCGTATATGGTAAAAATGCACGTTTCCCCAAGGAAAATCAATGGTTTGGGCCTCTTGGGGCCCTCTTGGAACGCCTCTTGGGCGCCTCTTGGGGCATCTTGGAGGCCTATTGGGACGACTTGGGGCCGTCTTGGGCGGTCTTGGGCTCTCTTGGAGCGCTCTTGGGCCGTCTTGAGGCTGTCCTGGGCCGTCTGAGGCGCTTCTTGGGCCGTCTTGGGCAGTTGTCCGAGGATGTCTCGAGCGAGGCGCTCTTTTTTGAGCCTCAAACGCCGTCCTACTCGATGAATGCCGAGGCGGAGCGGCCATTAACACTCATTCCCCCGCCCTACCCCCCTCTGCACTCCCCCTTAGGGGCTTCGCCCAAACACACAACGTCATCACTTGTACCTCACCCTTTCCGTGACCCCAACAACCCCCCGAGAGACCCCAAAGAAGTCCCAAAGATGCTTCCAAGAGGCCCCCCAAAAAACAAAAACAAGGAGCTTCCAAGATGCATCCAAGACGCCACAAGAGTTTCTCGGACCCGCCACCGCGATCCCGAAGCGATCCAAGAGCATGCAAGCGCTCTAGGGATATCCTGGGAGACGCCAAGAGGCATCCAAGGAGCCAGATAGGAGGAGGGGGTAGAACGACACGCCGAAACGCCCAAAGGAGTCCCAAAGAGGACCCAAATAGGGTTCAAAGACGCCTCCAAACAGCCTCCAAAGAGAACCTACGAAGCTTCTAAGAAACATCACCTCAACTCGCCTGTCATCCCCAATGGAGCCCCTAAAGCTTCCAAGAGATCCCCAAGAGACGCCCAGACGGCCCCAAGAGACGCCCAAGATGCCTCCAACAGACTCCAAAGAGAGAGCCCCCGAGAAGCCTCAAGAGGATCCCCGCGGCACCCAAGACGCTCAAAGACAAGCCCAGGGCCCACCAAGAGACCCCCCCACTCGAAGTTTCACTTTCGATTGGCTTTTGAGGCCTCAAGGTGGCCCCTAGAAAGCCCAAGAGAGCCCAAGAGAGCCTCAAGAGAAGCCCAAGAAAGTCCCACAAATGCCCCAAACGCGCGCCGAAAGATTCCAAGAGAGCCCCAAGAGACACCCAGACGGCCCCAAGAGGCGCCCAAGATGCCCCCAACAGACTCGCAAGAGAAAACCCCCAAGAAGCCTCAAGAGGATCCCCGCGGCATCCAAGACGCTCAGAGACGGCCCAGGGCCCGCAAACAGGCCCCCCCACATGCCCCGCAGCCGCCCGGCAGGTCGCGACCTGTTGTACGCGACCCGCCTGGAGATGCTACGCGACCTGTGGTACGCGACCTTTATCTCTCATGGTACGCGACCTGTGGTGCGCTACCTGCCTGGTGATGGGACGCGACCTGTGGTACGCGACCTTGCCGGGTTGCACTGTGCCGTCCAGTTCGAGGAAGGAAGTGGGAGAAACAGTGGGACGAAGCGCCCAGCAGACCCCAACAGCCCCCCAAGAGACCCCAAATGAGTCCCAAAGATGCTTCCAAGAGGCCCCCCCCCCAAAAAAAAAACAAGAAGCTTCCAAGATGCATCCAAGACGCCCCGAGAATCCCCGCGGCACCCAAGACGCTCAGAGACGGCCCAGGGCCCGCAAACAGGCCCCCCACATGCCCCGCAGCCGCCCGGCAGGTCGCGACCTGTGGTACGCGACCTGCCTGGAGATGCTACGCGACCTGTGGTACGCGATCGTTACCTCTCATGGTACGCGACCTGAGGTACGCGACCTGCCTGGTGATGGTACGCGACCTATGGTACGCGACCTTGCCAGGTTGCACTTTGGCCGTCCAGGTCGAGGAAGAACGTGGGAGGAGAGGGTGCTACGAACTTCTTGTCCTCGGGCCTCGTCGTCGTCGTCGTCTTCGTCGTCGTCGTGGTCCTCGTCCTCGTCCTTGAGCCTCGTCCTCGTCGTCGTCGTCGCCGTGGTCCTCGTCCTCGCAGGAATGCACAAGAGGCCTCCAAACCGGCCCAAGCAGCCCCCCAAGACACGCCAAACGAAACGCCACGAAGCTGCTCGACGGGAGCTGCTTTGACCCCGACGTGCCGCGTGCACACCCTCATAAAAACAGCCGCGGCCCCTGCAGCTCCGCACCGCCACGGACCACTCGGCATATCGACCGCGCTCCAGACTGGTCGCTCTTATCTGCTTGAGTGCACGTTAACGCGAATTCCCCAAACCCTCGATACCCGCCCTCTTCGTCTTCGATCGTGCCCCTTTTGGGGAGTATACCTTTCTTCCCTGCAGGCCGGGCCCCGGCAAGCGGCGGGGCGGCCGTGGACCGTCGGCCTGGCCAGCGGCAGCGCTGATCGGCGACAACCCGACCCCAAGAGGGACGGACAGAGGACCGACCACGACGACGACGACGACGACGACGACGACGACGACGACGACGACGACGACGACGACGACGACGACGACGTCGACCACGACGACGACGACGACGTCGACGACGACGACGACGAGCGAATGCGAGAGCGAGAGAGAAAACGACAGCAGGGCCACGGAGGGCACGAAGTAGGCCACGAAGGGCGACAGCGGGGATACGAAGGGAATGCGTGAACGAGCGGGGGCCACGAAGGGCAGATAATGTGGGGCCACAGAAGGCAACGACGGGGCAACTGAGGGTAGCACCTGGGCCACGTAGGACAGCGAGGGGGCCACAAAGGGCGACAGCGGGGCCACGAAGGGCATGCACATGGGGCCACGACGGGCGCGAACGAGCGGGGGCCACGAAGGGCATACGTATATTGGGCCGCGGAGGGCAAGGACGGGGCCACTGAGGGCAGCAACGGGGCCACGAAAGGCAGCGAGGGTGCCACGACGGGCGACAGCGGGGCCACGAAGGGCATGCATATGGGGCCACGACGGGCGCGAGCGGGGGCCCACGAAGGGCAGCCCACGAAGGGGGGCCACGAAACAAAGCGAGGGGGCCACGAAGGCAACGGGGCCACGAAGGGCAGCGAGGGGGCCACGAAGGGCTGCAACGGGGCCACGAAACAAAGCGAGGGGGCCACGAAGGGCTGCAACGGGGCCACGAAGGGCAGCGAGGGGGCCACGAAGGGCTGCAACGGAACCACGAAGGACAGCGAGGGGGCCACGAAGGGCTGCAACCGGTCCACGAAGGGCAGCGAGGGGGCCACGAAGGGCTGCAACAAGGCCACGAAGGGCAGCGAGATCCCGATTCCTAAGTCATCGGTGAGGGAGTCCTAAGCGTGAGCGCGACTCCCGGGTGCCTGAGTGTCGGGAGCGCGGCGCTGGAGTAAATTGCAGGAAATTCCAACGCAAGGGCGCTATTCTTAAGTAAATCGCAAGCAAGTCTCCAGCGAGAGCGCGACTCCAGAGCGCCGAGAGAGCGATTCCTGAATAAAATGTAAGGACGTCCCAAGCGAGAGCGCGATTCCTGAATAGAATGCGAGGAAGTCTCGGGAAGGAGCGGGGGTCCTGGCCAACTTGTGAGGAACTCTCCAGCGGGAGCCGTTGTTGTAACCTGGGGGCCAACAGCGCAATTTGAGGATGAAGATTTGCCCTGATGGAAACAAGGTGCGAGCGCCGGGAGGGGCACTTCAATTGAAAAAACGATGTGCACCGGAGGGGGGGATCAGCAATACTCATTCTTCAGTAATGAAAATTCAACAACAACAACAACAACAACAACAACAACAACAACAACAACAACAACAACAACAACAACAATCACTTTACCCGAACGCTCAGTGTTCTCACCAGTGCCAGGGTTTTCATGCGACGCCAGCCAATACCCCCACTTTGTGGGGGGGCAGTGCAAGCTCTACCAAATATCCACACGACTCTTCGCCACCACCCACACCCAGCTTCCCGCCCTATGACGTTCGGACACTTCACTTCGTGGCCTGCGGACGACCGTGGCTACTACACTGGCGTGGAGTAC